TATTCAGTGTACAATAAGAAAAGGCAACAGAAGAATAATAATTTTTAACCAGATAAGCTGATCACCAGGCAAGTGTGAACAACCACAATCTATTTGAAAACTACCCAAAGTTCTTAAAAAAAAAACATTTATAGTTTCTTCGAGCTAAAGAGTCAAGCTTTCTCAACTGGGCCACCCAAAGATAACTTCTCGATTTTTTTATATTTCATTGACCAATTTTGAAAGCTAACATAGTGTGCATTATTGACACCAAAGATTTTGTGATAATTTTATTTTTTCGACGAGTTATTTGCAAACAAATTTTTATGCAAGCTTTTACACTTTTTGAAATATTTCGGCAAACATTCATTCGAATCTTATGATTTTTTGACAGCAATTAGAGAACTTATTGGCCAACAAAATTTGTAAACTTCTCATATACCAAGGAAAAGATTTCAAAAAGGATTAAATATTTGCTCTAAACATTCAATTTTACTTTCATAAAAAAAATTACTGTACCTATGATTGATTTAAAGGTTTTTACTAAAAAAATTAACCAAGTTTAAAAAAATATAATACAAATGAACTGAAAAGCAAAAAAAGAACATAATTTGATAATTCTTGATTTGATACTGAAGTTTGAAAATTTTAATTTATTTTTATTTTTTGCAAATAACTCGTCAAAAAAAATAAAATTGGCGCAAAATCTTTAGTGTCAATATTGCACCCCATATTAACTTTCAAATTCGGTCAATGAAATATTAAAAAGCGGAAAGTCAACTTTGGGACTTGACTCACAATGAAAAAATGTGTAATTTCGGTACTTTTTCGCCTAAATAAACGTTTTAAGGCTAAAATTGTTCAAATACTTGATTTATTTTTTATTGTACTCGTTTCTGGAACTCCGACATATAACGATTTGAAGAAGGAGATGTTTAGTCAGAATCGCGAAAAAATTCTAACTTTGAAAGATCATCTCTTCGAAAAAAAAAAAATAAAAAAAAGATTCCTCGAATACGTGTTAGCTTATTTCATGTATAGAACACATAAACAAAATTTTATCGAATCAGAGATATGACATCATTTTTTTACGAAACCCGTCCGACTAAAAAAGAATGCCTCTTTTATCTTATTGTGCATTATTACTACTTTTAAGTATATTCTAAATCAACGTTTTGTCTAAACTTTTAAAATTTTGAATATAGGAAATTAAAGGACTGTGGCTAAGATATACATAAAAAATAATAAAAGAAATACTAGCTCTAAACAAACTAAATAGAAAGTATACAACACCTCATATATATATTCTATTAAGCTATATCTGGTCCTGGCTAAGAATCAGCATACGTAAATTTTACCAGTTTTTATGCAAGAAATTGACGTTACTTGGTCTTTTTATTCAAGCCTTTTAATAATTTGACTCAATTGAAGGTACATAAAAAGTCACTTTTTCTCTATGCAACACTCTACAAAAAATCTTATTCCCCAACTACTTTTTATGCTTGTAAAAAAATATCTTCAAAGTATTATAAGCTTTCACTTGCGAAAGCTCACTACATGAAGCTCACTATCGAAAATAAATCACAGCCAAAAGAAAAAGCAATTTGACAATCACCATTTTTATGCATGGGTGTGCAGAGCGAATCAAACTTTCTCTCACTTCGCTTTACGCTCCGCACAACGCAGCGCCGTACATCATCCCTGCCAGCTTACACTCACACACGCGCCCAGCTGAAGAAGCGTGCGGT